CTAAGTGTGATAGTAAGTTTTTAATATTATTTGAATTTGGATAGAAATATTTTGAAAAATCAAATCAATACCGGTAAAAGAAAGATCGACATATTTTATAAAGTTTATAATTCTCAAATCCACGGTTTTTTTTTTCTTATATCTGCTATTATAAGTCTGCTTGTTTTGGCCAATTTTAATATAGGTGCCTACCACACAAAACCCATCTTGTATAATCTTTGCTATGTTACCTTAGTATATCAAAGACTTACCAGCTTTTGAAAAAACGTTTCTGGCATCCTAAAACATTTGCAGATATTCGACAGTTTATACGATGCTCCCGGTGTTTTCATTGGTTGTTGACCGCGATGTAACCGCCCTGAACGCTTTAACCTATCCGGAGCTTTACAAAGAGCTTGGCAAAGGGCGTTCTCTTTCTTACAAAACATTTTGTATATGGGTTCTTATCAGTATTTATCAAGGTTACTGATTTCGTTTTATCTATTCTGTCCATTATAAATCGTTTGTACTGATACTTGGACAAAATACGTAGGGTTTTTGTTGACGTGAAAAATTTACTGCACACGAAAAGCTGGGGCGGAGTTGCGCATATATGTCTTAAAATTGCAGCTCATTTGTACTTTGTCCATCTTCAGATCAATGGTCTTTCGTTTGCTTGTTTGGTGCGGTGTCACTTTACTATTTATATGTTTCTTTTGTCCAGCCGATTTAGTCGAATTTTGGAAGAGGGAGGGGGCGAGTCCGACGAATGTACGAAAAAATGAATTATCCGCAGCAATATTTTTGCTGGTTTGTGCGAGCGATTTATATACCTGCACAGGTCACCGCCGCGAAAACTTTCCCTCCCCCCTCTCCACTCCTTGCCTTTACAGCTCTCTCGATATAAAACTTAAAATACGAAAGTTCATTAAAGCATTCTTGAAATATTCCTCTTTTTGCAGTATTCGCAGTTAAGGATGTTTCAGTGTGTGTTTTAGATGGGCTGGTACTGTTTTGGTGCAACAGCTTGTCCACTGCAGCATGCTTTCAGGGTCAGTTATTATGTACGGAGCATTGCTGGTCTTCGATTCCGATTTCATCCATGTCGTTTCGATTAGTTTCACAGCGTTAATTGTCACTGAATTGATCATGGTTGCCCTTACGGTGCATACCTGGCATTGGGCTATGCTTCTGGCACAGGTACGCTATTTTATGTAGATACTAAGCTGTTCATACTTTTGGAGACCTACCCGTAAGGGAAATTTAGATTCTTTGAGGAAGAATACTGGGAGTATACTTGTGTTGGATTTCCCCTGGTTGAGGAATAAAGGGCAGAAACAGTCTAAGTTGGCGTAGCATCGTTATTCTGTGTTCAAAATAGCAGCTGCTACAGTGCTAAAATAGTGGTGTTTTGCAAGGGAAACGTATAAATTTAATGGTTTTTGCCAGTTACAAGTTCATCCCCCTCAACTTGGAAGTAGCCTGAGTGTAAGCTTTTACTAAAAGAGACCTCCCATTAATGGAGTTGCGAGTAGCTCCTTTCGAGGATTCCTTGTAAGCGAGCCGGGGATGGTTTGACTTTCTTGGCATGTACCAGGACCAGTTTACCACTGAAAATATGAACAAACTACAGAAGCATTGGCCCTGTCATCGGTGAAGTTGAACCTTCGCTTTTCAGCCCAAAAGCAGCGCACTTTGTCGCTGCGCAATGCCCGCCAGCAGGCTAATTTTAAAAAAAGCATATATAAAGACATATATATGTGGGTATGCAGCGTGAGTTTCGAGGGATGAGGATTGAACTTTTTTGTCTAGCATGCAAGAAACCCTATTTTTATGGCCATTTTTTGTTGCAGGCGCTTTCACTAAGTTTGTATGCGGGATCTCTGCTGCTTTTGGATAATTTCTTCGATCGTCAGTTCGTCACAACATGGATCTTTCTGTCCAAAACAACAGCCATCACAGCTGTCTCCTGTCTTCCGCTTTACATTATCAAAGCACTAAGAAGACGCTTCTCGCCGCCCTCCTATGCGAAAGTGAACTGAAACTATTTGATGTACGTACAATGTGTGTGTGTGATAGAATCTGTGATGCGATATGTTTCGGTGTAGCCAAGCGTCCCGTCCTTGAATCCCCCTCCCCCGACCGCCGCTATTCTCAACGGTTTAACGGGTTACACTTATTGAGTTCTTTATCGAACAGCTTGTTCGCTTAATTGTTATAATTTT